GATTATGACCTTGTTCCTTAAATAAAGATCTGAAAGGTCCCAAGGGTTTTTAAAGCATCTCTCGCAGCACACACTGAGTTTGCCACAGGGTCAATTGCCCAGTCTGGCAACAACCCGTACCTAGGCAATGGTAATATGTGCTCCCAGGGTTGCAGTTTTATATCTGTTCCGTTGTAAAAGGGAAACTTCTGAACTCAGTGAATTCTTGGCTCAGCTCCAGCCTGGTGGTGGTGCTCAACGCGGAACAGGTCAAACAAGCAGGCAGAGGATGCTGCCTGCATGGCTGGGTGCACAGATGGAAGCTGGGCACAGCCAAAGCTGTACTCTGCAGTGGCAGTCCTGATGCCTAGGGAGAACATCCTATTCCAAGGGAAACAGCTGTAAGAGGACTGGGTATCATAAACTCACAACTATTTCTTTCCAATCTCACATGTGTAAAGTTGCTTATAGGTGACTCAGAAAACATATTAGGTAAGTTATTGATCTGGCGTCTATCAGCTCCTAAAAATCAGTGTCTGCCAATGGCGTGTGAGAAAGTCTATTCAGGCATCACAGCTGGATGATGCTGTCTCAAGGGGTAAAAGACAGCTGAGCTGGTTCATAATTAACATTCCCAGTTTTTATTAGTTTCAACATATTCAGCACTGATGATGATATTGCACTGGAACAACAGTGACCCAGTTCAAAATGACACCACCAAGGCATCTTTCAGATCTTTTTTAATTAGTCATTTACATTTCCTGCTAAACACTATTTCCTGGCAGCCTGTAACAAGATCCTCAGATCGATTCTGCCCCGTTCCCACCACACAGGCTGGTTTGCTGCCAGTTTGCTCCCTGTTGGTTTATATGCCAGTTTGTTATTCTAAGGTATCTGTGAGTGCTGAACACCCTAGTTTGTTACTCCAGTGCCATCGCCTCAACTTCAAAAACCACCAGTTTATCTTTTATTTTCCTCCTAAATTCCTGACTTTATACTGATAGCAGAAAGGAAGGAAATGATCTGAACTAAGCCCAAGCACTTTTTTTTCACTGAGAATTAACTACAAATATAAATACTGTCTTAGGAAAGAGTGCAGTGTGCATCAATACAGTTCCTCCACACATAAAGTAAAAATAGAGCAGAATTATAAATGTTCCTATAACTTCCACCTAAAAAGTGTTTACCTGTCACAAGTACTTATAAACACTTCACCTCTAACAAAAGCAGAATTAAACATCTATGTGCACCATTGTCTCTGTGTGTGAACTGCTTCATGCTAGCTTTTAGGATCAATTATTTTGTAATAAATCAAAAAATGTGTTCATTTTTCTTTCATTTTTAAAATAGCTTTTAATGCTATTCCCATGGAAACAGCTTACAACCACCTGCCTAATGTTTGTGGGTTCAAGCCTTATCCAGGTACAACTCCAAATCCCATAGGCTGCACCAAAAACCTGAATTCAAAAGGACTGTTACCAGCAATTCATAAACACTGGTATTCATTTATTCCATGAGTCAGTACGAAACAGAGCTGCTTAACGTAGTGTTTAGCAGACAATGTATATTGTTAGATCTTTCTATCCAATGCAATGACTTTTCCTGCACTACTGTGAGAGGCAGATGAAGGCTTTTCTAGTAACAGGCAAAATTAGCCTTTGAAACCACAAAGATGAGAAATAGTTTATTTTCAAACCAGAAAAATTCAGGTTCATTTTGGCAGCAGAGCAACTTCCCCAAAACCATAGTCTCTTGGTTATCTCTCTGTGATGCATGCTGCATCCATTAAAAATCTGATATTTCACAAACAACTGAAAACAAAGCAGGTGCTGCTTGTTCCTGATTGTTAGCAAAGCCGTCAAGATTCTCAGGGGTTCAATACATCTGACCCCCAATTAGAAGCAAAATGGTCTACCAATTTATTATTTTTCTTAATTATCTATTTCTAGAAGGCAGGAGGCCTATTAGTATGTGGGGGATGATGTACCATGGAAGCCACTGAGGGTTTCCATAGGCCTGAATCTGCTGTTATAGCAGACTGATAATTAAGGCTCAGATCACTCTTTGATTTATGGCAGTTTTATACTACTGCAACACTATTCACTTCACTGAATTGCATCCAGTATTATCAGGTTGATTTTCTTTAGGAGTTTTATAGTCGGGTTATTTTTTAAAACTCGTCCAGGCTTCTGGAATAAGAGGATCTGTTCATAGGCAGCTTTTCTTGTAACCTTCCCCTTTCTTCACGGTTTGTTGTTGTTTGTTTCTTTTTCCTTTGAATGCTTAAAAACCTTTGTACAACATCCAAGATCTTTACTGGTTTCAGTTTTTCAGCTCTCCTTTCTGATGCCCCATTTAGATTCACATTGCTGGATCTCCTTCTCTCCCATTTTACAAACTCTGGGTTTACAACAGTGTAACTAAGAATTGCCTCAGTAAGCTCAAATGAGTAGTCTATAATAAAAAGATAAACTTGCTAAACCCATTAATAGTAAGTGAATTCTCGTGTACTATCCCATAGGATAGCAAATAATGAGGAATGTCTTATTCATTATTAATAAGAAATAATGAATAATTGGAAGTAATACAGTGGAATGGCTTTCCTCCCTCTTTCCCTAGGGCTGAGGATACCTTCTTAGCCCTCCATCCTCTTGACTTGCTACTGTAGCAGATCGTATAGGGTGGTTCTTGCAAGTGTATTTTGGCAACTGGCTGCACATCAGAGAACAGGTAAAGAGCTTTCTGCAACAGTGTCCATATTCTCAGCAGATATGCTTATCCTTGGCAGCAGCTCCAAGTGTTATTAGAAGTCAGACAGCCACATTTGCATGGCATTCGGCCTGAAATAATACAGCTTTTTTCTCAGCAGAGCTCATTAGCTCAGCATGTAACAGTTACATGACTTCTGGTTATCTTGGAGCCCTAGCAGTTTGGACTTCTCTCGGTAAAATGTGCTGTAGGCCTTCTCAATGGAAAAAATCTCACTGTTTTCTGTACCTGTTGTGGTTTAAACCCAGCCACACAGCTCATTCACTCACCCCCCCCCCCCTTCTTTCCCTCCCCCTGCTCCCGGAGGGATGGGGAGGAGAATCAAAAGAATGCAGCTCCCACGGGTTGAGATAAGAACAGTTTAGTAACTAAGGTATAACACAAATCACTACTGCTACCACCAATAATAATAATGATAAGGGAAATAACAAGGGAAGAGAATACAACATCTCACCACCCGCCGACCAATAACGCCCCCCACCCCGCCTGACCAAGCACCAACCGATACCTAGTCCAGCCCCACAGTGCCCTAGCCCTTCCAGGTAACTCTCAGTTACATCCTGGGCATGACGTGCTGTGGTATGGAATACCATTTTGGTCAGTTTGGGTCAGGTATCCTGTCTCTGCTTCCTCACAGCTTCCCCTCCTCCCTGGCAGAGCATGAGGCTCACAAAGTCCTTGGTCAGACCAAACATTCGAGCATTATCAGCTCTGTTCCCAGGCAGAAAGTCAAAACACAGCGCTGCACCAGCTACTAAGAAGGAGAAAAAAATGACTGCTACTGCTGAACCCAGGACAGTACCCACACAGCATGAGGTGCGGGATGCCTTTTTCTTAATGAGAACTAGGGAGTGATGAATGGGGAGTGCCTGGGGACTGTTACATTTCCCTAACAGAACCTTCGGTGACCAACAAAACCTTCACCCTCTTCGTTCCAGGGCAGCCAGCTGCATGACTACTATTGAATTAACCACTTTGCAATAGCAAACTTTCAGACATGGCTTAAACCAAACAAAAGTCATAACTGCATTGCACAAGCCAGCTCCCAAAACCAGCCCAGCTGTGAAAAGTCAGCAGTGCCATCCATTGACTAAAATCTGTAAGGCATGTGCTTGGCAGGAAAGAAATATCTATCAGTGAACAAGCAACATCCCTCAGTGCTGCCTTCTTGCTATTTCAGACAATTTCCCAAAGAAAGCCTGTATAGATTCTGGTCCCAGACAAGTTCTTACAATGCCTGCTTTCAAGCAACAGCTGCCAGACACGTCAAAAGACTTTACTCATGCAGACAGAATACCTCCCATTACACTTGCTGACTCATGATGGATGGGTGCTTTTGCCAGCTAACTAACTGTTAGCTACAAGTTAGCTTAACTACTAGTAGTTAACTACAAGTTAACTACTGTTAGCTGCTGACTCATGATGGATGGGTGCTTCTGCCAGCTAACTAACTTCTTTGCTACAAGAAGAACATGACAAGTCGCAGGGTGACCACACACCCAGAGGCAAAGAACAGGCTCTTTTCTCCTGTTGAGATCATATAACAAGCACCACCATAATGCACCATCAGAACCAGGTAAGGTCATAAAGCTGACAATCCTTTACAAAATGACCGTTTATAGTGGTCCTACCTTACCAAATCACACTCGAAAATATGACATAAATATTTTATTATTGATAGATAAGATGCTTTAAACGAATATTTCCCATTAGGGATTGTTAGAAAGGTCAGCAGACCAAAAGGCTGCTTGTAACTGTGGTCTGTAATCTACAATGCCCTCTAGCTATGAGCTCATATTATAAGCTACTCACATCTATTAAATGATTTTACCAACACAAGTGATATTATTATTATTTAAGGTTTGATCATTCGAGATAGTGAGAATTTTGGGTGTATCTCAAATTCTGGCTGAAAAAAAAAAAAAGAGCAGAAGAAGACACCAAGTGAAGGCACACTCTCCTCCTGCATCTGCTCCTCTTCTGGTCTCAGGAAACTTATTGATGCAATTCTTCTGATGCAAGAACAGAGATAAGGTACCAGTATGGGGACCTACCCTTCAGCAAAAGGCTCATTTGTTGCATTGCTCCTGAGTGCTGGCTCTGTAGAGCAGGCAGGAGGTAGGGACTACTTTATCCCCTTTACCCATGCTCTGAAGGAAGTTCCCAGAAGGTTTTCTTCCTTACAGCCAGTCACATCAGAACCTCTTTGTCAAACTAAAGGTTTATAATCAAAAGCTTCAAGGTAAACTCACTTGCACATATTGAGTATGGACTGGGTGCGTCACTCACTTCAGAAGGATGTGTCCAAGCACAGCAGCATAACCACCCGAAAGATGTGGGAACAATTTCCAGTAATCTCATACAAATAGGGGCTAATGACTGTGTTTAGTAATTCACATCAGCCTTTTCTGAGTATGCTGCAGACTGAATATTGCATTGCACTGAGTCGTTTGGCCAGAATCTCATTATGGCATTATGCAGTGAGAGGTAGAAAAGAGGGAATCTGGCCTTGGCTGTTACTCGTTCCTTCTAAATTGGCTTACAATTTGTTTTATTGAAATATTGGTAGGGAGCAAAGGGCAGAAAAAGCTGCACTTGAGAATCTGAGTCATGGGCCTCTACAGCAGAATGTTATCAACTATTTACATGGCTTTTAAGCCTGAAGGGGAAGAGGACAACTGGCTTTTGTATTTATGAAAACAATTTGAGATTGCTGAATGTTTAGGAAAACAAACATAAAACATGTCTCTTGCCTAATTTTTCCTAAGTTCTCATGAAGCGAATTATGATCAGCGCATTATTCAGTCAGTAGTGAGTCAACTCAAAAAAACAAATCTAAAGGAGTCTATGCAGATTTGAAGGGCCATGGGAGTCAGAAGAAGTATAAAACAGCTTGAGGAGACAAAGCTTCTAAATTTGTCCCCATAATTTTTGACTTCACAAAAAAAACTTTACCTATTTTAACAGCAGCAGATATTAAAAACAATTCACTAAACAGCATTATTTTGCATCCCTCTCTGTGTTAGATTCGTCAGCAGAAGGCATTGCACTTCTGCTTGGCTAGCTGAGTTCATCTGGTTTAAACGTTTGATAGCTTTTTTCCAGATGTATGGGTCTAAAGCAGACACCTTTCCTCAGAGTGGGCTTCACTGAATGATAAATTAAATAGCCATCTGAAATCTTATCTAAATGCCAAACCCCAGGTACCTGAATGAATTGTTTGCACTTTACTGCAAAATAAATATCAATCTAAGGGTAGAAGATGGTAAATGCTTCACAGACACAAGGAATGGAAACTTTGTTAGATACTCAAAAAGGTGACTTAAATGGTAAAGCCTGGCTTTCAAACTGTGAGTAGGTAGGTATGTGATAACATGTTTAAGGAAACTAACAGTGGGTACAGAAACTATTGCTGCTTCAAATGTAACCCAGGTTAATAGTTCCTGAGAGGTGAGAACAGTCAGTGACTTCCATGAAGTCAGTTATGTGTCCTCAGTGCAGCATTATCCCGCAGACAGGGCAAAAAAGGACAAGAGCTGTTTGAACATGGAGGCTGAGTTACCCTCCATGTTAGGGTGAAATGCATTAGTGGGTGCCAGGGAAGCTGCTTCTGCTGCCACTCCCTTTAATTTATCTGTTCTGTGAAAAAATCAACTTCTTGCTTTGCTACCTTCTTGCTTTTCCCACACCTAGCAGGAGACATCAGATGGGATTTTCACTCACCACGTCCAAATGGCTGTATATCACACCATCCAAATGAAAAGACATCTCATCAGATTACTGGAGAGGACTCTTGTGGAGAGTAGAATTAATGCTGCTGATTTGTTGTGTCAACTAAGGCACCAATATCCTGAAAAACTATGCTTCCTCCATGAGGAAGAGTGGGACCTTCACTGCTCAACAGCAACAGTCTGCTCTCACATATGTATACCAAGGATGGGTACATGAAATCAGCAGAAGATCACATAAATACAAGCAATATGGATGTTTTCACTTTTTTTCTCTCTCTTTTTATTTTTCTCAACAAGAACAGGGAGTCAAAGAGCAAGATCTGCTTAGCAATTGAAATTCATCTCTGTGCAGAGGTTCCCATGAGCCATCACACAAATTGAAACATTAGCTTTCAGAAGGATTGGTGCTGAAGCCGCAATGGATGAAAGTTCCCACATACCTCCAGGGCCCTGAAATGAAACAGGGCCACACAGCTCCATTTTTCAAGGATTTGCAGGTAAATAATTCAACTAATTCCTCCTCTGCTGTCCTATTTGGAGATTTTTCTCACCCTAAATTTCCCTCACAGACAAAAATATCTGGGCTGGCTTCCTTAGGATTTAGCTATCCTAGCAGGGCAGTCTTCTCCCATTGGAATAAAAGATACCAAGTTTTAATGATTTTCCACTGGTTTACCTTGAGGATGAAGATGTCCCTGAAAGGTTAGTATGCACTCGAGGATTTGTAACAGAAATTTCCTACTGTGTTTGTAAACTGCCAATGAATTCATCAAATAATAAACAGTCATTTTGTTATACTTTGCACAGGTACAAATTTTAATTTCAAGGAAATAAAGGTTTCTGATATTCCTTTCCTGATATCATTTTAATTCATAGTCATCAACTACCCACATTATCTTCTTAATTTAAACACCTTTGGAACACAATGTGAAAAATCCAATGTACTAAAGAACTAGGCCACTTCAAACTTGTTCACATGCCATGCATTTAATTTGCTATTAAAAAAAAAAAATATTAGCTTCTTTTGTGAATGAGGTTCATGATCAGTTCCCAACTTCTCTCATTAAATTTATGTACATGGCATTACTAGATTTGTAATAATACTAAACAGTATAGCTTCCATCATGCATAAGCAATCAACTCCCACTCTCATATAGGAACCAGTTCCTACTTGTCCATTAGAAGGCATTATATCTTGGAACTAGCACATTCACAATCCCTGAATTATTTGTAGATTAAATTATTTGAAAAATGTGTCATGAATTTTCTCTTGTGAAATTTATAAAACTTAATATTTATTCGTCATCAAAACATCATTGTAGTTTGACTGAGACATTATTAAAAGTAGACTGTTACTAAACTACTAATCACTTTTACCCTTACAAATGTATTTAACTCCTGAACTAGCTCATTGCAGGGTCCCACAACCAGCACTTTGGACAAACCACAGACGGAACAATTCTGCAACATGGATTTCTAGTTACAGAAATCATGTGCTGTAGCGTACTTCAGTTCTGTCACTGTGCCTATAGCGCTGTGAAACTAAGAGAGATTTTGACTTCAAAAAGTCAAATTATGGGAGGGAAAGTATTATATAAGGGGTTTATAATAGATATCTTGATAAAGGGTACCCACTGTGCTACTTCATTATAAGTGCTACTTCATTATAAGTGCTCTGATAAAAGCATGACAAACGTTTCTGACATGTTTTATGAGAATGGCCATTGTGCAAAAATCTTCAACTCCTGGGAATTCGAATGCATCTTCTGGTGATATTTTACTTACTGCCTCTTTGGCAATCTCTCATCTTGATTCACAGCTTTACTCTTACTGACAATAAACAGTAACTATGCAAGAATAACATGAACGACACAAAACCAGAGCAGCACTATCTGATTGTTGGAAAATTACAAAAGGGAAATAATAGAAAATCTGCATAGCAAGAGGCTGAGAGAGGAAGCAGGGGTTCAGACAGGACACAAATGCAGTAGATGAAGTACATTGTCAATCTATTTTCAAATAATAGATCCCAAAGCCATCTTGATTTGTGAATTTTGGGATTCACAGCTTGACACACTGTGCTCTTGTTTGAGGACTGCTGAACACTCTTTTGAGATCTGTGAATATTTTGTCATGTTGCAGCATGCTTTTTTTTCCAGTGTGTCTTATATTTAGCAGAGATACCGAAACATTTTGATACAAATGCTTGTAAGAAAATGAATGACAGAGAACTAAGTACACTTATATGAGATAAATTATTAAAGTGTTACTTGAAAATTAACATATTATAAAGATTTATATTCTAATTATCAAAGATAAATAGGACAATTTGAGGTAATTTTAGAAAAATGAAAATTCCTTGTCAGTCCTGCTTGCTAACAATAGCAATCATGAAAGATAAATGCACTGTATGAATGTAAGGGGGAAATTCAGTAACCAAAATGTGAATTTCTCCTTCACATTCAACTGCTTTGTACCCACTCTGGTGGACACAGGGTTATGTGCTCCCATGGGATCTAGTAAGGACAAGTTACTAGTTACAGCTAGTAAATAGGAGTTCAAGGCCTAAAGTCTTGTTCTCCCACTTGTGCCACAAATTAAGTTAGCATACATAGCTCCCATCTACAAGAATAGATGGAATGAAGATTCAGGGAACTAGGAATGCCTAGGAACATAGGCGTGTCAGCCTGGTCTCAGAGCCAGGAAAGGTTATGGAGCAGATTCAGTTGAGTGCCATCAAGCAGCACGTACAGGACAATGAGATCAGGCCCAGTCAACGTGGGTTTATGAAAGGCAGGTTCTGCTTGACTAACTTGATCTCCTTCTGTGACAAGGTGACCCACTGAGTGAATGAGGGTAAGGCTGTGGATGTTGTCTACCTAGACTTTAGTAAAGCCCCTTTGACACTGTTTCCCACAGCATTCTCCTGGAGAAACTGGATGCTCATGTCCTGGACTGTTCACTGCAGTACTGTGAACAGAGTGGTGGTGAAAGGGCTTAAATCTAGTTCCCAATTAGGGGAACACAAGTGGTGTTCGCCATGTCTCAGTGTTGGGGCCAGTTCTGCTTATTATCTTTATCAATGATCTGGATGAAGGAATTGAGGGTACCCGCAGTACATTTGCAGATGACAGTAAATTGGTTGGGAGTGTTGATCTGCTTGAGGGGAGGAAGCCTGTACAGAAGGATCTGGACAAGCTGAATTGATGGGGTGAGGCCAATGGTATGAGGCTCTCCCTGCACTTGTGAACTATCTTCACATTAAGGCATCAAGCCCAGGTGTTTGCTTGGTTTTCAATAAGCTTACATCATTTGATGTTTATAGCATTGTTCCTTCTTGCTTCTAGCAAAATCTCCCACTGAGACTTTGGAGACAGCAGCCAGACACATAAAACTGCCAACCGTAATGCTTTTATGCCTCATTAACTGACCTCCTTATCTTTTCTGCATTTGCCCAGGCTTTCTAGACAGCCAGCAACAGCACAAAACATATGTCACAGGAAAGCAGCTCTGCGTTCTCTACCATGCAGTAGCTCTAACAGGTCTGCCAAACACAGGGAAGTGTCCAGTGTCTGTGTGCAGAGCCCAGTGGTGGTTTGTGTCAGCAGAACTCAACTGACATCTCCCTTACTAAGACCAAAATTAACTCCTGGATTTTCCTGTAATTCATTTAAAAATGATGACAAAATTGGAGTGTGCTATGGTTAGAGCATTGCCATGTTAGTATCATCTGTCTGCTCAGGTGGTGCTGGTGTATAAATTTTCACTGAAAACACATCAGCAAATTGCTTTGGAACAGTAATAAACATAAATACATGAATACGAGTATGTGAAATTGTGTTCCAAGGAGCTACAAAGCACTCAGAGAGAGACTGGATTTATGAAGCAAGAACTAAAGGAAGTGTAAAACCCTAGAACTGGCAGTGTTGTTTATTATGCCCAGAACAGACTCTATTTTAATGAATGCAAAGCTCTCTCCCTCTCTTCCTCCAGTATACTCCCTGAAACCCATCTGTTCCATAGCACACTGCACTTAACAAGAGCCACCCACCATGCCATTTCAGCATTGTGCATTCAGCATTGTCCTGCGCAGTTCCAGCTTGTGCTCCTAAACTGCAAGCTCTTCCGGAGGGAAAACCTATTTATCTGACACAGCACTCCTATTGTACTCAGCCCTGTCTGCTCACATCCCTGCAAAAACAACATGCCTGAAGAGGAAACACTTAGGCACCAGGAAAAGAGAAGTAATTTATTGCTGGAGCTCAGCATTCAGATGCATTGTTTCAGTACATTAATGTAGTATTTACCCTTCCCACCCCAGTGAGCAGCCTTGTCTGTGATGGCAAGAAGCCATCATTCCAGAAAACTGCAGCTGCTGCAGTTATGAAATGTTGGCATTGTGCAGGACAAGGAGCAGTGGCCATGAACTAAACCATGAGGAGTTTCATGTCAACATGAGGAAAAACTTCTTTATGCTGAGGGTGGCAGAGCACTTGAATAGGCTGTCCAGGAGGTTGTGGAGTCTCCCTCTCTGGAGCCATCCCAAAGCCCCCTGGACACGTTCCTGTGTGACCTGCTCTAGGTGGCCCTGCCTTGGCAGGGAGTTGGACTGGATGATCTCCAGAGATCCCTTCCAACACCAATGACTCTGTGAACCATAGGTATTAACCACAGTGCAGGTCAGTCTCTCCTCCCAAGGAACAAGTGACAGGCTGAAAGTGAACGGCCTCAGGTTGTGCCAGGGGAGGTTTAGGCTGGATATTACGACAAATTTCTTCAGCAAAAGGGTTGTCAAGCACTGGAACAGGCTGCCCAGGGAAGCACTGGAGTCCCCATCCCTGGAGGTATTTTACAGACATTGTGATGTAGCACTTGGGGACATGGTTTAGTGATGGAGTTGGTAATACTGGGTTAATGGTTAGACTCTGATCTTAAAGATCTTTTCCAACCTACACAATTCTATGATTCTGTGTTCAGCAGCATTAACACTGAATAGCTGGAACACCGCAGAAGGTCTGGAAATCCCTGCAGTTATCCTCTGATCCTGAAAATTACCAACCAACCAAAGCCCTGCTCATTGCAATAGGGCTCCCCAAGGCACCGGGATTCACTCCCTCTCCACCCAACATCTCCAGCTCCCCCAGGCTGATGTGACACTTCAGTGGTATTTTTAATTCATACTTGTCCTGTTGTGGTTTTAATGTAAAAACAAGATGTAAATGTGAGACCTTCTCAGTGCTTATGGGAAGCTGCTTCTGGCCTCAGAGATGCGATGAACCCTTTGGAGCTGGTTAAGCTCTGCGCTCGCACTCTGCCCTGCACCGTAAAGTCCTGGCAAATTACCAGAGCTCTTCAAGATAAAGCCAGTAGTGAAATAAACTGCTTGCACCGTAAGCTCAGGCACCGGACCTGCAGCAGCAGTGACACCTTAACCACCTCTCCACTTCAGCGCAATGCAGACCCCGGGAGCACGCTGAAAAGCCGACGGGCACCGCCTCCCCTTCACACTTACAAGACTAAGTATCACCGAGGGGAGTGGAAAGGCGATTTTCCCCTTCTAACGAGCTATCTGCAAAGACACACCGCAAAGCAGCAGTGGTCACCCTCATACAGCTCCCTCCTGAAGGGCTGAAGAGTGTGTTTTGCCAGCCAAGGTGGAGCAGGACGCTGCCCCTAAACACCTTCCTCCTCTCAGACGGCAAGCGAACACTCACTCTCCTCAACGAACAGTTGTAACTGCCATGCCGCCCAGCGGCCAGCACCCTCCTCCTTAAAGGGATAGTCCCACAAGCACGCCCCGCCCGGCAGGAGGGGCGGCTGTCGGTGTGTCATGTCTGCCCGCCCGCCGTGTTGGTCGCTCAGATCTGGGGCTGTGCCGCGGCCGCGCCGTTGTTATGTACTGCCTGGTGCGCCTGGGCCCGCTGCGGCCGCTGGTGCACCCGCGCAGCGCCCCGCTGCTCGCTGCCGCCGCTCCCCGTATCCTGTGCCGCGGTCCCCATCAGGCCTGGGCCGGCCTCAGCCCGCCGCTGCCCCTGGTAACGCTGCGATCCGCCGCCGGCAGCTCCGCCAAGGTAGGGGGGCTGGGAGGGGGCTCGGTTGGGACCCGGTCTCCTGAGGTACTGCCCTGTGTGAGGCGGCAGCGCGGCCCAGGGCCCGCCTCTGAGGGGAGATGTCTCGGTGAGGAGCGGGTTGTAGCTTCGATTAAAGCACAAAGTTGTCCTGGCCTGGAAGTGTTTCCCAGCTTTTTAGGAGTGTCTTCAAGGTTACCTGGCCTGCAGCACCCTGGCGTGTTTTCCCTGCGAGCTGCGGAGTTTGAGCACGTCGGGTGAGTGATGAGGAAATAAAGGCGTTTCGGTAGCCCACGCAGAGCGGGGCAGGCGGCTGCTCCCGGTGATCGTGGCTGAAAGGGTTTGCTGACAGCAGCAGCGGGTCCCCAGCCTGACTGCGCCGTGTCATCAGCTGAGAGGTAAAACACCAACGTGCACCCCGTTAGGGACCTGTTTCACTGTGCTTTCAACATCCAGGTGATTTCTTGGAGGTGGGAAGGGAAAAGTAATACGAATTTCTACTGTTACAGAATCACAGAGTGGTTTGGGTTGGAAAGGACCTTAAGATCATTAGGTTCCAACCTCCCTGCCATGGGTCACACTAGGCCATGTTGCCCAAGGCTCTGTCCAGCCTGGCCTTGAACACTGCCAGGGATGGAGCATTCACTGCTTCCTTGGGTAACTTGTGCCAGTGCCTCAGCACCCTCACAGTAAAGAACTTCTTCCTTATAGCTAACCTGAGCTCGTGTTTAAGCCCATTGCCCCTCATCCTGTCGCTACAGTCTCTAATGACGAGTCCCTCTCTGGTATCCCTATAGGTGCCCTTCAGGTCCTGAAAGGCTGCTTTCATTGCATTCACTGGTTGGGGGGGGGGGGGGGGTAATTTGAATTTACTCGGTATGAAAAATTACATGCAGGTGTTTTTTCCAGTTCAGGAAGTTATTAAATCATGTTCATACATGATTTTATTGGAGCAATCCCAGGCATAGCTACAGGTTGGGCAAAGAAGAGATTCAGAGCAGCTCTGCGGAGGACTTGGGGGTGCTGGTCAATGAGAAAATGAACATGAGCAGGCTTCAGTGTGCGCTCACAGCCCAGAAAGCCAACCATATTCTGGGCTGCATCAAAAGGAGCATGACCAGCAGGTTGAAGAAGGTGATCCTGCCCCTCTACTCTGCTCCCATGAGACCTCACCTGGAGTATTGTGTGCAGTTCTGGTGTCCTCAACATAAAAAGGACCTGGAGCTGCTGGAACAAGTCCAGAGGAGGCCACGAGGATGATCAGGGGCTGGAGCACGTCCCGTATGAAGATAGGCTGAGAAAGTTGGGGCTGTTCAGCCTGGAGAAGAGAAGGCTGCGTGGAGACCTCATAGCAGCCTTCCAGTATCTGAAGGGGGCCTATAAGGATGCTGGGGAAGGACTCTTCATTAGGGACTGTAGTGACAGGACAAGGGGTAACGGGTTCAAACTTAAACAGAGGAAGTTTAAATTGGATATAAGGATGAAGTTCTTTACTGTCAGGGTGGTGAGGCACTGGAATGGGTTGTCCAGGGATGTTGTGAATGTTCCATCCCTGGCAGCGTTTAAGGCCAGGTTTGATGAAAGCCTTGTGTGAGATGGTTTAGTGTGAGGTGTCCCTGCCCATGGCAGGGGGGTTGGAACTTGATGATCTTAAGGTCCTTTCCAACCCTAACTATTCTATGATTCTATACTGTATTTCAGTAGGATACAGGGGTCTGCTTGACACCTGCTTCTGAATGTAAGCTTTCAATACAAAGCCTCATGTACAAGTTTTAATTTCCACAGCTTAAATATTCAGGTTAACTTTGGTAGCCTCATTACAAAGCATAACATGACGCTTCAAATTTTTTTTCATGTCCTTAGTTTGCTTAGGAAGCTGAATCTTTGCCTAAATTATGTGAACAGACCTGGCTTTCTAGGAGAAATATTGTAGCAGAATTATATGGCAGATGGGTAGCTTTCTTTGGTAAGTTGTGCATTGTTGAGGACACAACTGTACTGGGTAATCCAAATAACATCTGTCAGAGTGAGACTTTTGTAACATCTTGCTTCAATACCATGCAGAAATTGCTTGGCTTGTGAGCCTGAGAGCATGAGTGAATTGAAATGTACTTGAATGATGAGAACAAGCTATTCTTCAGTCCTTGTAACCCATCTTGCAGTTGTGGCTGTGAGACATGGAGTTCCCCTGAGGCTTATGTATCTGTAGATTTGTCAGCTCCTATTTTCATGACAGCTGTGTGAAAAAAATTCTCGTGTTTGGCTCCTTAAATTAGTAATAATCATCTTTGGATGAAAAAATCACTGTAAGCTGTTAAGTCTTTAACTACCATTCAAACCATGCTTGGCTTTTAAGAAAATCGCACTGTTGAATAAATGAGCATTCTTGACTAAACACATGCTGTTGGTTGAATTGTTAGGACAGCTTTTGGCAGAAGGTACTGTGAAACTGTTTTGTTCAGTTTGGCTCATGAGCCAAAAAAACCCCAAAAGCTAATGTTATCTGGTTTTTTTTTAAGATATGATAATCAAAATAAGTTGAGCTACACAATTCCCTAAATACATATTTAGAGAAAAAGAGAAAGCAGCAGCAACTGTAGGGGTTTCGGAGGAGTGGTGTGGTTGGTATGTTTGTAATCACAGATTAAAGCCAGTTCATCCTACCACAAGTGTTGTGGGAGGAGCCTCTCATGTGTATCCTAATTTGCACTCTCACTGACTCCAGGGCTTAATCAAAAGTATTTTTCTTCTAATTTTCTTCTAATTGAAAGCAATCTACAGCAGGACAAAGTGCTGCCAGGCACTCAGTAGCTTGTCGCTGTCCTGTGGGCAGCAGTGGCCTTTAGTGTGCTTGACAGGTTGTCATGACTGCTGCTGAATTCAGCTGGAAAGAAAGGACTCTTCTAATCTTTCCTGACAACTGCTCACTAATTAGAGAAAAATCCTGAGGTCTCTGTGGAAACGTTTTCTTTCTCCCGTTTGTATTTCTTCTATGGCAAGTATGAGGAGGTATCCAAGGGCTGTCTGTTTTACTAGCCCTTCTTTGCCTGCATCACACTATCACATTGCTCTGGGGTATATTTTAGTATGAAGTTCTGCACTTAAAATTTACCCAGATAAAAGCTGTCAATAAATTTCACTATGACAAATGAAAAAACTTTTCAGTGAAGTTAGACTATTTACACCAGCACTGACATGTCTGTGTAGCTGTTGGCTACGCTGTGGCAACAGCATAGCTCATGGCTGTCAGCAGCAGTTCCCTGGTTCATCCTTTTTTCAGCTGCTCTACAGAGTGTGATTTATAGGAACTTAAATGTTGGACTTCTATCAGGAAGTTGCTAGTAAGTGAGCATCAGTTGGTATCGTGTAGGCTTCCAGCTTCCAGCAGCTTAGCTCTTGAGCAAAAAGCTGTGTTACAAGAATTCGCTGTATAAAGCTGAGCAGTGGGTGTAAGCAAAGATCTCTTTGGCACCTCTGTCTCATCTCTCAAGTGACTGCTATACTGATGCGAAAGAGCAAAAACGTGTTACTAACTTCCCAAAGCATTCTGAGCAGTGCTGTGTGCAAGCCACTTCTCTCATTATTTCAGATTGGCTCAACTGACTGGAATATGGTATTGTGCTTAATGGTAATAAATACTTTTGTTTTCTTTTTAGGATGCAGGTGGATCCTCTGAAAAGGCAGCCACAGATCTCAGTGGTGAAAACAAGAAACTCAACAAATCCCAGCAGCTGAAACGAGTGTTTAAAGAGTATGGTGCTGTAGGGGTTTCATTCCATGTTGGAATTTCATTAGTATCTCTAGGTATCTTCTACCTGGCTGTGTCAAGGTGAGGTTTTTACAGTTGTCTGTAGCCTCTAGTTAATGTTTACTTGTGCAAGGGGACATTTACTTTGTGCCACTTTGATCTATACACAGTAATCTTCTGTATTCTGAGTTTAAATAGATCTATAAATGGATCTAATCTCCCATCAGGCATGAGAGAAGTTGGATGTACGTGGTTTGTTTTCATAAATTCAAGATCCATGGTGAGCAGGTGAAAACAGCAGAGTGGAAACTGCACTGGAGTAACTAAACAGATGAGAGAATTCATTTTTGTTCTGCAGAGATATCTTTTATTCTCATGCAGTAGCATGGTCTGTAGAGATAGAGCCATACAAAAGTGCTGGTGCTTAGAGATAAATTTGTTTTTCTGGGTGTTGAACTCTGTTTTTGCAGTTGAACTGCAGAAGGTAGCAGAAACTGAAACAGGATTAGATTACAAAAGAAAATACTAGATAACCATATAGGAGTCAGGTGGCAAATGGTGTCTGTGGCTCCTGGTGGGAATGCCTCAGTTATACATAATCTTTGAGCATGAGGTATTCCAGTTGAGGAGATAGGGAAACACACTACTCCTCAGAATATTCCCTGCTGCTTAATCTTGCCTTCAGTGCGGGTATGTGAATGCTGATTCCTCTCATTTAGTACATCGTGGCACACACAGGGTGACAATGAATTTTCTTCCTTCAGGTATGATTTAACAGCTTTGGAAAATTACTCCAAATGTAGGGACCTTGATGAAAGCTGTTACGTCTGTAGGGAGTTAAAATATTAATGGATTTGGTGAATAACACTTATTTGAGATCCATAATACTTCCTTCACGTGCTTGATTTTAGATAAGATACTTATCATTTTCTCAGCTTTTGCTCCTCTGTTAGAACACTCTAAGCCTAGCAACAGATTCTTCATTTGCTTTGGGTCAGTCTATATTATGTGATAAATTTCAGCAAGACACAAAGAGGCTTCATTGTAAATCTTGGGAAGATGAATTTCCAATACCAGTTCACAAATTTCTGAGTATTCTCTATGCACACGCTGCAGCTATACAGTTGTAGAACTAAGAACATATTTGACTGCACAGTAACTTGTCCTTATATTTAAGGGGAAGAAAAAGTGCATTTGATAATATTGCATGTGTTGTTGCTACAGAAGAAACTTAAGCTGTTACTGCTGAACTGGTTGGTTGAGTTTCTTATTTAACAATGTCTAATTTGTAAGTAATTTATAAAAAATTCCAGTTGGATGCCATGTAAATTTCCCTGGGAAAGAAAAAATGGCATTTTTTATTTTTTAGTATGCAACCTTAAAATAAAGAGACCTTGTGTTCTTTTTCCGCAGTGGAGTGGATATGACTGCAGTTCTCTTCAAACTTGGTTTCAGTGAATCATCGTTGCAATCTAAAATGGCAGCTGGCACAAGTACATTTGTGCTGGCATATGCCATTCACAAGTTGTTCGCTCCAGTAAGAATCAGCATTACCGTAGTTTCTGTGCCATTTGTTGTCCGATACTGCCGGAAGATTGGTTTCTTCAAACCTCCTACCCCAAATCCATGAGGATTTCTTACTGGTTTTTACTCCAATTGTTTTTATTGGTTTTTTAATGCTCTATATCCACATAGCTTTTCAGATTGTTAAATTTCTTTAAAAGATTTGTTTGGATCCATGTAAATGCTGACCTCCTCTTGCATTTCTTACTTGTTCTTTCAGGTGAATGGTGGTGAATGGTACACTGTGAAAAGTGCTGTCCTTCTTTCCATTTTGCCACCTCTTCTTTAGAAAAGCCTGTTAAAATGGTTTTCACTGCAAGTGGTAATAGAAGTGCTTGACAATGAGCTGTCTCTTTAGAACACACAGTTCTAGGACTTTATAATCTAGCTTTTGGGGCCTTAATTTTTTTTTTTTTTCTTGTCAAAATAGAGTGTGAGCATTAGTTTGTGTCTGTGTATTTGGAAAACAGTAAGATTCTCTTCCTAATAGGCTGTGGGATCAACAATATCCTACTATATGAATAGTTCCTTTGGTAAGCGTATATACTGGAATCTAAAGTGGTAGGTGGGTGTTTCTTTTGTTTCTTTTGTTATAAGAGGCATACATCATGACCACAGTCTTGCAGCACAACACACATGCTGAGTTAACTTAGGCAGGAGTACCCGCACGCTTAATAATTGCGCAGTAATAATTATTTTAGCCAGAATAGGCGATGCACTGTTCTGAAACTACAGCTTCTTTGAGGTGCTTATAGAATCATAGAATAGTTAGGGTTGGAATGGACCTTAAGATCATCAAGTTCCAACCCCCCTGCCATGGGCAGGGACACCTCACTCTAAACCATATCACCCAAGGCCTCGTCCAACCTGGCCTTGAACACTGCCAGGGATGGAGCATTCATAACCTCCTTGGGCACCCCATTCCAGTGCTTCACCACCGTAACAGGAAAGAATTTCCTCCTTATATCCAGTCTAAACTTCCCCTGTTTAAGTTTTAACCCATTACCCCTTGTGCTATCACTACAGTCCCTAATGAACAGTCCCTCCCCAGCATCCCTATAGGCCCCATGCTTCCATGTTTCAAGAGTTTATTTGAAGATGGGTTTTATTTATAGGCTAGGAGCTGGCCTTAATAAAGTCCTTTTTGTGTTGTTTATTTTATGCCTATAGACTCTGCTGAAATCAGTGTAACCAGAATTACCTCCTGTGGGAACATACTCCAAAGATTATCAAGTCAGAGGCAAAGGTATCTGTGGGTTTTTAATGTATTGAGATCTGGCTGTGTACTAGGCACGCATTTTTTAATCTGAAAACTAATCCTAGCAGCTTTCTGCTTCTGTGGATGAAACTCAAAACGGCACCTGAAGTCCAGACATTGCAACTCATAGCTTCCCAAGAGCAATTGGTGTGCTGTTGTCTGCCAGACTTTTGAATGTACCAATTAGAGGTGATTTTCAGTCTTATTTGGGTGCTGTTCCTGCTAGAGTGCAGCTGCACGTGCATATATTTATGTACCACTTTTCAGTTAAAGACTGGATCTCAAATACTTGAGTATTGACTACAGCATCATGGTAAACCTGGGTTTCAGACTCAGGACTGTGCTGCTGTGAGATAGCATAGCTTAAGTCAAATCCGTCAGACTTCAGAACCGGTTCCTCCTTCCAGGTCTGCTCTTTTACACTGGCCTTTGTTGATACTTACCCCAAGGTGGCTCTGACGCAATCTGTTTGGTCAGGAATCTGATTAAAGCAAAATAGCAGGCAGTTACCCTGAAATTTAGTGAACTGAGAGAAAGGGAAATCTGTAGAAGAGGTAGTTTACTTCCTTTGCCCTGTGGATACCAGAGCCTGCCAGCTGAAAGCAAGGAACCCCGTTGGTCTGTGGGGCTGTGCTTTTAGCCTGTTGAGGGGTTTGTGTCTTAGGGTGGAAACAGTCCCTGCAGTGAGCAGATACACATACTGGAGGCTTAATATATAATGCAGACATAGCCATCCATGGCACATGTGTAAAGGTGCATTACACTGGTATTTTGTGCAGTGTTTTAACAGCCACAGGAGCAGGGCACACTGAGTATTAGCCTTGCTCTGTGCCTGTAGAGCTGTAAGTTGTCACTAAGAGAACTTATGTCATGCACAGCTGCTTGGCTTTCTTGTTAGAATATGGAGCCAGTGCTCTGGTGCTTCACATACCCATGTGTGGAGGAGGAATGGCTGTCCCATTCATTTGAACTAGCTGCTTATTCCCAAAAATAAAAGAAACAAAATGCAGTTGGCTTGCTCCTGTTGTGTGCCTGTTTGCAATATGGCTGCTGAAGCTGCCAGCTTGGCCAGGGCACTAGCTTCAACTTGCCAGCTCTAATTAAAGCGTAAGGAAGTTCTACCTTTATCCCTGAGTAATCTGTGTGATTATACCTGTTATGTGGATGGAAGCTGAGTGCAGCATATACTTAAATTTCAAGTGGGCAGTCACTGTTTCTTAAGAGTAAGTTTTAGTTTGGCTTTTTTTTCTCTCCTGGTCACGGAAGCCTTTGTGTTTTGGTTTATTGTTAGTGCATGTCCTCCCTGTTTGTATTGGTTCAGGGCAATGTTCAGTTAACAAGGATAAAAGAACTCCAGAATCATCATGTGGCAGCCTTGATTTATTTACTCAGTCATTTCTAATAAGTATGTTTCACCCTAAAGTTGATAGAAAAGGAAGATGCAAGCTTTTTCTTTTTCTAAAAAGTCTCTCTGTAAAGCAGGAATCATTTAAAGCAAATGCACCTCAAAGTTCTTAGTGCTGGTACTTTTATCTGGAGACTTCCTTGCTGTAAAGATACAGCTTAATTTAAATTATGAACAGGATTCAGATGACCTATTCAGATAAACATGTTTGTATAAACTACTGGCAATCTTCGATAAAGTTTTTTTTATAAAGTATTATATTAATTTGAGAGTATATTTTGAATTCTAGAATCCTTGCTGTAAAAAGATTTTTTTTAATGGTTTGTAAAATAGCGATGACCTTAAAGCCTTATAATGAAAATACAATAAATTGCTTTCTCTTAGTTTGCTTGGAGTTTTATCAGTTTGTATGCTTTGATGGCAAGTGGCCTGACCCTTGCTCCATTTTAGGGAATAACATCTTACACCACCAGATGTTAACATTAGTTCTTGTTACATATCCCATTGGAAAACAGTACTTTCCAGCCCTTTCTCGCAGAAGTGCTTTCAGACTGTGTTGTCTTTGAATAACTGCATTTAAAGAAAGGATGAACCTAGGCTTCTGCCTAGGTTCAGTGGTTGTAGAAAAGTCACAAAAGGTAAGTGGCAACGTGTTTGGTACTTGTAGTCCTGTATGGCAAATGTAGAATAGGGTGTGACCATACCTACTTTTGGTACCTGCACTTTGAGCAAGAACTTTATACCAGCCTCCTTTTTGACAGAGGTGGGAAGTAAACTTACCGTGTGATCACAGCCAAAGAATCAAGCTGTCCTGATGGTAAAGACAAGGGGTTAGACACAGCCAGTGAAAGTGATAATGCCATCAGGAGCCTTACCATATTGTCAGCATTATACAACACATCTTTATTTCGGAAGTTGACTGCTCACGTTTAAGCTAAAAAGTAGACAAAAATAATGCACACATCATTTTTAGGACATTTCAAGAAACGCATTCGCCTTGCTCATTTTCAGATTACACCACAGTTATGATACCCTTAGCAGCCCAGTAAATTCAGAGGCAGGTATCTCTAGGATATTGCACTGTTCAATAAGCTAAAACAACTTACTCTTGTTGTTGGACCAATGAACCTTTACCAGGACAGACCACATCATAAGAGCCTTGAACAGCTTAATACTTACATCAACAAACCTGGCCCACACATGACAAGATTTCAAGTATACTTTTAAGTATTCCACAATGTCCAGCTAGAAGTCAAATAACTTTACGTTACGATCAGAATTTAATAAGACGGCCAACCCAAAGACTTGCATTCCAATTGCCACTAGATTCCAAGACCTGCTTTTTGTATTGTAGGCATTACAGTAGTCACAGTACAAGACTCTCATTGATCCCATGAGGTTGTCCCTGCTAAGACTGTGTTCTGGATGGGGCAGCACCATCGCTTTTTCTGCTACTGGGCACCTTTGTAGAGTTTGCTGTAATCCAGGGATGAAGTAGTACATCCTTCAGGGGTAGTCGACAGAATGGGCTATGCTTCAGAAGCTTTGAAATTAAATCCCTCGCACCTTCTGTGACAAATGGAGGAAACTTGAATTCCACCTAGGGAAAAAGAAGGATACTAAACATGATGCAGAAGTTCCTTGACAATAACCAAACTAGACACAAAGGGCCCTACCCTACGATGTACATCTAGAAAGGCTGAGTCAGCCTCAGGCTATGCACCTTATGCCTGTTGAGGCAAGATTAAGTAACTTCATCATAATCCTGAAGAAAACAAGGTTCTCAGAACTGAAGCTAATATACTGGCTCAATGTACTTAAGATCAGTTTGCTGGGACCACTCTACGGTATGCAACAGGAAAGGTTAAGCTTACTTCTTTTCAGTAACACATTAGATGTTAAATATTCGTGTTATAAATTAGAAAAGGAAAGAGAAGATTGGCTGCTTCATGAAGAGGTAGAAGTTCAGGTGCAGGCAGAAACAGGGTAGAACTAAGTATATAAGGTGTGGAGGGCCAGAGCAAGTTTAACCTCTATGAGCTGGCCTTGTGTCCTTGAAGCAGAGAAGGGCATGAGAGGAGGGGAGTTGCGGTGGAAAGGAGGAACTCGGCTAACGACTGGAGGAACGAGTGGACAGCAGCACTGGACCAATCAGTATAGTAGTATATGCGCATGAACTCAAGGCAGTAACCTATCAGTGTTTCTGGTGGCACATGCTTGTAGAACAATAATATAAAAAGCCTGTTAGCAAAACAATAAAGATCTTTGGCCTATACCCCACCAGAGACCATGTCATCAATCTCCACAATAAGGCAAGGTATCTTTAAGGTCTCATTCTACTGAATGAGTGAAGATTGTTTTAGGGATTTAGTTTTAGAATCATAGAATAGTTAGGGTTGGAAAGGACCTGAAGATCATTCAGTTCCAACCTCCCTGCCATGGGCAGGTATACCTCACACTAAACCATCTCACACAAGGCTCTGTCCAACCTCACCTTGAACACCGTCAGGGATGGAACATTCACAACGTCCCTGGGCGACCCATTCCAGTGCCTCACCACCCTTACAGGAAAGACTTCCCCCTTATATACAATCTAAACTTCCCCTGTTTAGGTTTTAACCCATTACCCCTTGTCCTATCACTATAGTCCCTAATGAAGAGTCCATCCCCAGTATCCTTATAGGCCCCCTTCAGATACTGGAAGGCTGCTATGAGGTCTCCATGCAGCCTTCTCTTCTCCAGGCTGAACAGCCCCAACTTTCTCAACCTGTACAGGAGGTGCTCCAGTCCCCTGGTCATTCTCGTTGCCCTCCTCTGGACTTGTTCCAGCAGTTCCATGTCCTTTTTATGTTGAGGACACCAGAACTGCACACAATACTCCAGGTGAGGTCTCACGAGAGCAGAGGGGCAGGATCACCTC